CGCACACACACACACACACACACACACACACACACACACACACACACACACACACACACAGACACACACACATGCACACACACACACACATGCACACACCCACACACATGCACACGCACACACACTCTCTCTCTTCCTCTCTCTTTCTCATGCCCACACACACACAAGCACACACATGCCCGCGCATACATACGCACGCACACATGCACGCACGCATGCACACAAACACGTCCGCTTACACACCACGCCCATCTAACCCCCTTACCATGCTGCCCCCCCACACACCCCCAGCAATGGATTGAGGAGCAGAAGGAGTTTGCAGGGATGGAGCGCGTGAAGCGCAATGTGTGGGTGCAGATCCAGCTCGACGGCACCGTCCGCGCCAGCGACGTCGGCACGCCCCCCTGGGCGCGCATCGTGGCGGACCTGCCGCCCCTCGACTCGTTCAAAACCAAGGTGACAGACGGCATCGGGCCGTCGGTGTGAGCTGGGGGCGATCTGGAGCGGCACTGCGTGGCGCGGTTTTGAGGCGGTTTTGCAGCGGGACGCGGCAGCAGCTCAGGGAAACTGAGTCAACCTATTCATTGGGGACAGTTTTGTGCCGAGGCTTGCAGCTATGCTTTGTGAGCGAGTGAGCGACCCGCTTGGGGACGAGACAGGGAGGGCCGCCGGCCCGTTTTTTGACGCCTTGTGGGTCGACGTTTTTTTCCCTGGTTGGCCGTCAGTTTCCTGGTTGGCTGTCAATCAGTAACGCTTTCGTGGCGCAAGGCACTATCAGATAGCAGCATGCATCACCGAAGCGCCGCACAGGTTGCTGTGCGTCTGCCTGTGCAGCGACATTGATTTCGATAGACGGAGGCCTGCTTTCAGCGACCCGCTGCTGCAGGCGCGGTCTCGACCCCAGGCGCCGGCGGTGCTGGCGTCAGCTATGTGTGGCGGAGGCACCCCAAGCTATCAGCGGGCCCGGGTGTATGTGGGCTGACGGACAGTGTGGGCATGACATGGTAGCAGTGGCAGCATGAGCTGCGGTTGGGTTTGGGGTGTGAAGGTGGTGTGTGTAGGCTGCAGCAAGCACTTGTGCATGCCGCAGCCTGTGTGCAGCTTGCGTACCGCAGC